TTCACAGAATTTCCAAGTAGACGGCTATCTTAGTGTTTTGTTTGAGGCAGATCAAGTCTCTATCCTACTCATTGGCGTCCCATTGTCTCAAGTTGACAGAACCAATTCAGATAGTGAAATTAGACTCATTAGAGGCTGAGGGTCTTCCTACAGGATTCTTCAGACGACAGAGAGAATATTCCCTGTGCCGGAGGATCAGGATGATTCCAAATATGAGATTCTTTGTTTCTGGCTACGGCCGCGAGCCTATTTTGAACTGTCATCAATGACGTTTGTAGGCAAATTAGCTATAATTTTGCGCTGAAGTTGCTAGAGGGCCAGACCATTATAAATAGGGAAACAGGTTGTTTACCACGACAGTAGAAGTGATTTTTTTCTGAAGATATGGGTAAACAACATGATTTAACAGCCTTTGAACGTGGGATGATTGTTGGCGCGAGCCATGGAGCGAGTATCAGCAAAACAGCAGAATTCGTTAAATGTTCAAGAGGGGCTCATTGTTAAAGTGTTTAAAGACTTAACTGTCAGCTGAAAATCTTGGTCTGAACATGCAAATTGTGGCCGTCAGTGACTAGTCAATGTTAGGGCAGAACGGAGAGTGGCAAGACTGGTACAAGACAACAGAAGGGCAACAGTGCAGTTTCAGATTCCTCGCATCACCTTTCAACATCTCTCTCCCAGGATCATCCAAAGGATGGAAGATCCTTCCATCTAAATAGGACATCCATTTTATCAATATTCAAGAAAAAGTGTTGTTTCAGCTCATGCCTTAAATGTGGCTGCTGTGCTGAGAAAGTACATTGAGGTCACCTTCTTTCAGGTCGATCTGTTCATCTTTCTGGTGGTATTAGAAAGGGGCTCTCTGCATCCGCTAGGTCACATGCATTGTGACTGGTCAAGCAGATGGAGCCACAGACTAATCTCTGGGTTCACTCTACAGAAGGATTTTATCCTTATGGACAGATTTAGTGGTGTATCTCCAGAGTTATACTGGAAAGCAGTAAACTGGTATATGTTCCTGTCCCATTACAGGGTCAATCCAGGAGTCTTGTCCATGGTGAAGTTTGGTTCTTGATGTGTTTAACAATTGTGTAAATAGATAAATATCTCAACTTTGCTCTCCCTTGTTTTTGCTTGCTATGTCCCATTTGTATGCTGCCACGTTGGTGTCGGGAAAGCGGAAAATTGTATACTTACCTATCAGTAATTTGCCTTTCCTGATGCCAATACATGGCAGCATACGGGACCCTCCCATAGTTTTCGCATAGCGAGTGCTTGCTAAGAGAATGGTGGCCTTGGAGGCATGCTTTAATTAATTTAGAGTATAACTGGTACTGTAGTGGGGTGAAGGGTGGAGCTAAACCCATTTGTATGCTGCCATGTGATGGCGTCAGGAAAGGAAAATTACAGATAGGTAAGTATACAATTTTCCATTTTCAGCAACAACTTTCCAAGAGGTGAATTACCCTCATTTGCAGAGATTTCACTTCCTGTTACATCTCACAGACAAAGGTAAATCTCCCTAGCAGGACATGGACAGCCAGGGGCGGAGTGACAACACACAGGGCCCCCGGGCAATATGAGTTTATGGGGCCCCTTTGTGCTCCATCCATATATAAGCCCCACCCACATGTGTTACAGGAATTTTTTCCATACTATTTTTAAAATAACAGGTCTATTCACTAAAACGTGAATTGCAGGGGAATTGGTAGGATAATCTCAAATCCTAGACTAATATACAGTAGGCAATTTGGAAAGTGAGCTAAATGGCAGAATTTTTCTGGTTTAGCTATTTTTACCTATTGTGCCAATTATCCTGAATAGCAAGATAATTAGTAGGAGAATGGACAGGAGAACTGAATAATCTAGGACCGGAGTGGGGGTTTGTGTACATATTGCATGTGTGATATGCAAACCCCCACCACCCCCCTGCTCCAGTGCGCCCATGACCAGAACCAGAACCACTGCACGCAAACCTCAGACCAGCACAAATGCACGCAAGACCTCAGACCAGCACTAATGCATGACAGACATCATACCAGAGGCACTGCATGAGAGACATCAGACCAGAGCCAATGCATGACAGACATCAGACCAGAGCCAATGCAGGACAGACATCAGACCAGAGCCAATGCAGGACAAACATCAGACCAGAGCCAATGCAGGACAGACATCAGACCAGAGCCAATGCAGGACAGACATCAGACCAGAACCATTGCATGACAGACATCAGACCAGAACCATTGCATGACAGTCCCAAGAACAGAACCAATGTAAGTAGTAAGAAATGCACAGAGTGGCAAATTGCAGCATTAAATAGCGCAGAGTTCAATAACAAGGAAAGCAAAGCTCAGCAGCAAGTAACGCACAGAACGCAGAGGTCAGAAGGTAGTAACGCACAGAACGCAGAGGTCAGAAGGTAGTAACGCACAGAACGCAGAGGTCAGAAGGTAGTAACGCACAGAACGCAGAGGTCAGAAGGTAGTAACGCACAGAACGCAGAGGTCAGAAGGTAGTAACGCACAGAACGCAGAGGTCAGAAGGTAGTAACGCACAGAACTTTTTGTGGTAAGGCCCACAAATGGTCAGTCTGCCCATGACCAGAACCACTGCATGCAAACCTCAGACCAGAACCAATGCACGAAAAAACCTCAGACCAGAACCAATGCATGGAAGACCTCAGACCAGAACCAATGCACGGAAGACCTCAGACCAGAACCAATGCACGGAAGATCTCAGGCCAGAACCAATGCACGGAAGACCTCAGGCCAGAACCAATGCACAGCAAACCTCGGACCAGAACCAATGCACGGAAGACCTCAGACCAGAAATGATGCACGGAAGACGTCAGACCAGAACCAATGCACTGCAAACCGCAGACCAGAACCATTGCATGACAGTCCTAAGGCCAGAACCAATGTAAGTAGTAAGAAATGCACAGAGTGCACAGGTCAGTAGTAAGAAACACATAGTGGCAAATAATGCAGAGTTCAGTAGTTAGGAAAGCAAAGCTCAGCAGCAAGTAACACACAGAATGCAGAGGTCAGAAGGAAGTAACGCACAGAACGCAGAGGTCAAAAGGTAGTAACGCACAGAACTCTGAGGTCAGACGTTTGTAGCGCACAGAATACAGAGGTCAGAAAGAAGTCAAAGGAAATTAAGCCATGATTTATGTGAATCGCTAATGTTATTACAAAAAGGCCAAAATCTCTTTCCTACTGTTTCTGCCTGCACTGTTCACAATAGTTTGGCAATTGCATCTGATGCTGTCTGGGAAGTAAATGTTCAACCAATTTAGCCTTATTCACATGTGACATGGGCCTAATATGAAAGTGACAAGATGCAAAAAAAGCATCATTTGTAGGTGTTTGCTCACCTTTTCTCCTTCTTTGGAAAAAAATGTAAAAAGCTGGAGAATCGTGCATGCTGCTCTAGCGCTGTGGAATGTCCCCTGCCAGGCCCCCCCCTGGTATTCACACAGTGCTCCCTCTGCCAAAGCCGTAAGCAGCAGTGAGAGGTAGCTGTGTGCTAAGTTCCTCTCACTGACAGGCAGCTCTGCCTGCACGCTGCATTCCTCAGTGAGCCGTCGGGCGGCACTTAACACGAAGGACGAGTGGAAGACGGCATTGCAGGACAGTCAGTAACCCAAAGAGAGTGACAGCTGCCATGGGCCCTGTCATGGCCGCGGGCCCTCGGGCTGGGCCCGAGTGGTCAGTATGCCCCTGTGGACAGCAACAAATAGACTGACAGGGGTTTTAACCTTCCCTACTCTATCCAAAGCAAATGGATATGGATACTCATGGGTGGGATAGAGGAAATCACTTGTAGCAACATGAGATGCCTAGAGCATGCTTAACAGAAACATAAAACCACATGTAAACAAACCTGTAAATATTAAATGTAGATGTGTTTCACAGCAAAAGTATGGATCCTACAATGGGAAATAGATGTAAACTGAATACAGTACTAAAGCTAAATAAATCTGTATATGCAGTGCTGGCAAATTACCAACAATGTAACATAACATATACCACACAGAAAAGAAGTAATGTGAGATGTGTTGTCAAATATAGTGTTAGCTCCTAGATTCTTTGAGTTAGGTTGTGTTTTAGTGGTGCAAAAAAGCTGTAGCAATCTAGCTCCTAGTGCCCAACCTCCACTGCATTGTGGTCCGTGCACACAATAATTGCCATTTTCTTATACAGGTCAGTGAAGGAAAATTATTCTTAAGACTGGGCTCTAGTAATAACAGTGATCTCTACCAGTCTCATGTAATGTATCTTCAGCCTATCCTAATTCCTGTGTATACACATCATTTAATTATACTATTCAACTATTCACTAGCTTCCATAAACGTACCATGCACATAAAGTCCACACAGGTCTGCACAGCCAATAGATCTGTGATCTGTGATAACCTTAGATGATTTTCTTGCATAGGTAAGTTTCTCACTGCTAATTATAATCTACATTAAGCTGTTCCATATAATACCTGTTTTACTGTCCAGCGTTACTTACACCTCCCATCTTTGCAATGGAAGGAATTTACAAAAACCTGGCAGCCATGACCCTGGTTACCTTATCAGTGATATAAAAAGAATGAGGTTTAACAGAATCTATCAAACCCAGACTCTCTTAACAACTGCTTTGACCCTGTGAGCCCAACATAGATGTATAGTAGTTAGAATGTACCTTTCTCATAAGTCAGATGCATATCCTGTGGAACTATTCAGCTAATCAGTCTAAAAGCTATGAAAATGCAGTCCTACTCCTTAATATGACATAGGCGTAGCTGGTTCAGTTCATCACCCTGTAGTGTTCCCTTTTTGCCCTTTATTCCAGCAACATCCCTTTGTGGCATCATACCAGCTTAATACATTGTAAAGAATGTAATAATGCGTATTACATGGCATGCAAGAAATCACCTGGTTGAACAAAGTATATCAGTGCTTTTTTTTAATGTATTGCATTTACTTTTTCATATGTTATAGTTCGTCCCAACGTTACAGACCACTGGTTTACAACAGGTGAGTAAGGTGATAAAACTTGAGTGTTTTATGATATGCCATTACAATAAGAAATGCAAAAAACACTCATTTACTTTTGTATTTTTAGCACCAAACTACACATGCGGAGGAGTTCTAACTAATTCATCAGGAGTGTTTTCTAGTCCCTTTTTTCCGGGTATTTACCCTAATAATGCATTTTGCATATGGGAAATCAGAGTTTTGCCTGGACATATAGTGGATCTCTCTTTCCTCTACATAGAGTAAGTATTTATATCAGTCTTTCAATTAGATAAAAGCGTGATTATAACCATGATTATAATTTACCAGCAAATTTTTTTGGGTAATATATTTATTTTAGGGAAAACACAGAGACATACTGTAGATTTGTACATTTGTGAAGTGTATACTTCCCAAAATAATAGCAGCTTTTTCAGCTTCCTTTGTCATCTGCATGCTGAGTGGATATTATAGCAGCTATGGAATTATGTTGAATTATTTCAGGCATCTACATTTTTGTACCAATAATCAGTACCAAATTTTTTTTATTGCTTTTATATATGTGGCACTTTTATTTTTACTGTATGTTGTATTTTGATGGACATCCAAAATAGTAGTCTGATAACACTAAGTAGCGTTTTACCCTTAACCTAATCCCTCAATTTAAAGTGAGGGATTAGGGATTAAAGCCAAAACAGTTTTGGATAGAGTAAGGAATAGTTGGTGAGATATTCTGGAATGTCAATTTCCTAGCAAGTTCAGAGGCAACATTTGTTTGTTTAAAGGAAAAAACACAAGCACATACGCATTTAAACTACTTGATTTTCTGTACTTTTACCTGCAATTTTATAAATTTTCTTTTAAGACCCCTGTCAGGATTTTTTTTTATTATTATCTGTGTCCCTTCAGAGAGATTTCTCTTTACTTTTGGACTAAGAGATACAGCAGGAGGTAAGAGGAAATCTCTCAAAAGCTAGGGGACAGCTAGCTGCAATGTAACCAGAACAGATTTTCCCACCAGAAAATTTTCCACCGTACCTCCTCTTCCTGGAACAACTTAAAAAAATTTGGATTTCCTATCATTTTCTCTACGGGAAACAATAGTCACAAGGACATATAGAGAGGGTAAATCTCCAGTGGGGATTCAGACAACAATAGAAACCTAACCCTTCCACGTTATATCCACAACCACACAAAGTTTTGGCTTTATATATACACTTTAATTCTTAATTGCAACCAGGGGTGTAACTAGAAATCCCAGGGTCCAATGTAGCAAAATGTTGTAAGGGACCCCCCCGCCCCCCTTTTTAATAGAAATGCGCTGATCAGCACGTATTTTAGCATTTTTAATTGCGTTTCAGCGCTGAATTGCGACTAAAAACAGCCAAAAATGCTCTTTCAAAAATCGTGCGGAAACCACAGTGAAACGCTTCCGCCCTGGTGTGAATGGAGCCTGAATGAGGCCTAACACTTTACTTTAATACTGCTACACCAATGAGAGGCTGAGGAAAGGGGGATTATAAAAAAAATAAAGGAGCGCTAAACTGTAAATAATCGATTTATGTTGTAAATGGGTTTTTCGCTGTGTTGGTGTTGTGATAAAATGATGCAGACGTATATTTAATTACAACACAAGGTATCACAAATCACGGCAATGCGTCACAAAGCTTTGCCATGCGCTGCCACAGTTAAATTAATGTTTTTCTACAAAAGAAAAAAAAAATTGGTGCATGTGTATTTTATATGTGTGTGGGGGAGGGGGGAGGGGGGGAGGTTTTGCTTTTTTTATTTACACATTTTTAATTTATTTTTTAATTATGATTTATTATTATTTTACTGTTGGGGGTCTTCTGGGAAATATTAGGGGTCTAAACAGACCCCTGACATTTCCCTTTTGAAATAGAAAAAGACATTGAGGACACAGAGTCTTCAATGTCTTTTTCTGCAGCCTCAGCACTCAGTGAATGGGAAGCACTCAGTACAGAGGCTTCCCATTCATTCACAAACTGCTGATAGTAAGATATTTACAATCAAGCAGATTCTCAATGGGGAGGAGCCTCTGTGCTGAGTGCTTCTCCCCATTGAGAAATTCATGAATGAACAGGAGGTGATGTAAATCACCTCCTGTTCATTCATAACTGGGGACACATAGTACTATGTGTCCCCAGTTATTTACAAACACTGGAGTGATCAGACGATCACATAGCGACCGCACCGTTCGCTTTGGTGGTAGTTTCGCCACTGATTGCAACCTAACCCTTAACATTGGCCTTTAGCCTAACCCTCAGGTGACATGTTTACTATATATTTTATACTATATTGTGCAAATGCAATTAGTACACAGGAATCTGTTTTTTACACTATTGGATGATTGAGTGTACATTCTTAAATCCTTTAGTCATACATCAAAAAAATTGTGTAAATATTCACTTTAATTATCGTATGATGTTTACTTATTTCATCTGCACGACTGGATAATTAAAGTGAATCTTTGCACAATGTATTGTTGTATTGTGTGAACATTCTCAATTCCTTTATTAAATCAGCCATACTGATTAAGAATTCTGTGTTATTAACTCAATCTTCTGTGATCTCAGAATTCTGACATGGAGGCTGATTTACTAAAGGAGTTGAGAATGTCTCACAAAAAAGAGTAAAGACACTTGAATTATCCAATCATGTCATAAGATAATTCTACTTTATTTCATCTGCATATGATTGGATAATTAAAATTAATATTCATTTTTTGTGCGAACATTCTCAAATCCTTTACAAAATCAGCCACATCTCCGAATTCTGTGATACTGATTAATTTAGGATTTAATGTGCACACAATCAGTTGTGTGAATATTTCCCTCATATATACAAGCATGTTAAAAGCAAATTCTTGTTTCCTTATTTCATCTACACACGATTGGAAAATTTTGTATGCACATTTTTAACTTCTTGAATAAATCAGCTTAATTAAACCAAGGTATCAAAGACCCGCTCTTTCTTGTGGGATGCATCCCCTGACTACACTCCACCAAGTATTAATAAGCTAAACATAAACACAAGTATACCAGCATGGATACAAATTGGATGACTCAGTTAGGTAGGTCCACATATTACATAGTTTTGGTAAATCTAAAGGAGATTGTACAAGGTGCCCAGGAGAAAATTACATGACACACTGCTCGCCACTGCTGCTCCACGCTGCTTTGCGTGCAGTGTGCCATGGCCTTGACCCTGCCCCGGCCTTAACTCCGCCCCTAAACACATCCTCTTAAATAATGTTACGATAATTCTTATCTATCGGCAGATTAGGGATTCCTGCTGCAGGAAAACGCAAGTTCCTGACGCAGGAATCTCTAATCACACCTGAAATATACTGTAGGTGTGAATGGGGCCTTATATACACATACACTAAAGGTGCCCATACACCTGCCGATTATCGTACGATAACCCGCGAGTGATCCCGCGATCGTACGATAATCGACAGGTGTATGGGCAGCGTGTGACTGCTTCTACTGTAAGGTCGTACGACTTTCTTCTTCCAAACACACTGGAAAACCTGCCGAAAATCATACGATTTTTGGCGGGTTGGTGGCGTGGTTGGAACACGAATGCCGCACGGGCCGGTGTGCGCAAGCGCACACTGCCCGCTCAGCACTGCAATCATCGGAAGCCCTCCACTCAGCGGTACGATCAGCCTGTCCAAGATGGGCAGATCATACGACCTTATTACCTTATGTAATGACCTTACAACCCTTGCATAACGAAAGTCGTGCGATGGTTGCAAAGTGTATGGCCAGCTTAAAGGACAATAATACACTGCTCAACAACGTTACACCTCCCCCCCTGCACAAATATAATAATAAAATTCCCCCCAGACACAACAAATAATACACTCCCCCTTATTAACCCCCCACACACATAAAATAATATACTCCTCCTTATTAACCCC